GAGTGGCTTGTGTAAAAGTATATTATCTGACAATCACAATTCACCTATGTTGATTTTTAATGGAAAATGAGCTTTGACACAAAAGCCCACTTAAACAGAGTTGAGTGACAATAAAATATGCCATTTGGAGTGTTTTACTTCTAGACACTAGTACAAAGAGCTTGTTGGAAAAATACGTAAATAGTAATTTTGACTTCAAAAATAAATGGTTGATTTACTATGATAAGTAACAAATAAAAACACACCCATGATTAATGGTACAAAATTTGACTATTTTGATAGGATATTGCCAAGCTATTTTTTTAGGTAACTAAATTGATCATTTTTCTCTTTTCTAACTAAACCTTTATGTATCTCTTTAAATTTTCATATTTTTAGGTTTTGAAAATACAAATCATTACATCCCATGAAATTTGGAAAGCATTGAATTTAAAAAATGTGAGATTTAAACATTATACATATATTAAAAACGTATGAACATATTTATAGTAGAAAAAATCTAATCATTTTGGTAAATCAAAATCAATTGATGTCCCATAGATAATTAGTGCGTATCAATTAAATTTCGTATTCATTTTTTCTTTGGAAAAAAATATTCTATTAATATATAATAGGAGTAGAGATTTATTTAAAAAAGAAATTAAAACCCCATAAAAAAAATTCATTATTACTATTATTTGTACATTTTTTCGAATCTTTTTTTAAAATGGGAGTCTAGCTTTCAATTTGAAATTATAATTATGAAAACATATGATTAATATTGAAAACATCTGATTTTATGTTCACTGCTTGATCTATTTTCAAATTCAAACGCAAATTAGCTATAAAATCAATCATACGATATTCACGGATAATTAACCACATAATTTTTTTATATTTACCATAATAATGAGATATAACCATATACAAAAATATACTTAATTTTATGGATTGACAACGTGTGATTTGATATTGTCGGATCAAAATATTTAACCACATATAATTTTTATATTTACCAAAATAATAGATACAACCAGATACAATAATATACTTAATCTGGTATTCTTCTAAATGGTAATGGTAATTACCAAAGCAAAAAGATCTTTGAATTTATAACTGGCGGTTGATTTATAATTTGAATTTCAAATTTATTCAAACATTTAAAGAAAAATGTCATAAGCAGATTTTTTTTGGATACATTCCATTTTATCTTAACTTACATTCCTAACAAATATTAAATTTGCTTATATATTTTTAAAATTAATTACATCAATAAATAATATTATTATACATTAAATCATTATCATTTTATAAAAAAAAATATTTCTTCTATAAGTGATATAAATACTAATGACATTATACGACAATAAATTTTTGAATAAAATAATATTTGAGTATTATGATGAACCAAAATATGTAAAATTATTAGTTTTTTCTATATTAAAATATATATATATATATATATATATATATGAAAAGAATATTATTTATATTAATATAAACGGATCAACGGATTAATATATTGTTAAAATAAAGTTTTGAAAAAATATTCTAAGGTACAAAACTCTCGTGCATCGCACGGGATTCTCACTAGTTTAATCAAACAAATTGAGAGGATTTCCCATAGTATAAAAAAAAATTGACGGAATAATTAATTAATATTTATATAATGTGAATGATGTAAAATAGAAAGTAATAAGTAAAGTGTATGCGATAGTACAATAGTATAACAGTTTATTAGTATGCAAATGAATGGATAATATATATTATATAAAAATGTGTTGTAAATGGTTGGTTTTATTTTGAAATTTTAAGTGATCAATTACATAAATGAACAATGTATTTATTCTCAAATTGAGAAAACTGAAAT